GTATAGTTAGGAAAAGGGGTAGTAGGTATTAAAAAATTTAAAATGGGTATGTGAGTGTAGTAGGTGGAATAGTGGTATAAAATTTAAAAGATGGGTTTAGGGTGGTAGGGTGGGTGAGGTACCCCTCTAGGAAATTTTAGGGGGTTTCGTGGTATAGTAGGGGGGGTAGTCTGGTATGGTTTTAAACTGGGTATTGGGTCCTGGCTGGGTGATAGCCTGGTCATGGAAAACTTTAAACGGGTATCGTGAGTACCGGGCGGGGGGTTGAGGTACCTGGGGCATGGGAACATTTAAGCGGGTATCGTGGTACGGTAGGTGGGGGTTACCCGGGGCATGGAAATTTCTGGGTTTGGGGGCTACTGGGTATATGGTTTCAAATTTAAGAGGGGTAGTAGAGGGTTGGGGGTGTATTTTGGCAACATTTAGCTTGTTTTTTTCATGTACCTTATTCTTAATGATATTAACTTTTTACCCGCTTTTCAAAGTGTTAAAAACAATTTGGTTTGAGGCAACGTTTTGGTGACAGATGGATCCAAGCAAGTGATCCGGAGGTGAGAAACTCACGAACTTAAAACCGGGGTTTGTATTGAACCCTTTTTATAGAAACTGACTCCCCACTTTTTTGTGCTAACAACATTAACCGTACTATTTTCCATATTTCTGTGTTTTTTTGCGAAGAAAAAATGCAACTTTTCGATGGATTTCGCCTTTGGGAATTTTCATTTTATTGTTTGAGTTATGGTTCATTTAGTTTTGGTTCATTGATTTTTTCAGTTAGTGTCGAAACCATTCAGTATTTCAAAATTTTTTAATGGAAATAGGGGAAGCTTAAAGACATTGTAAAACACTGTCATTATCAGTCTGTGTAGTGGTGAGAGGTGTTCCACGAGGGTAAGCAAACGCCACCTCAAAATTATACATTCGAAAGAGGTGGGGCCGGAGCTATGCTCCCCGCTGCCCTTGGGAAGGGGGAGAGAGGAACCTGCAGCGCCAGCGAAGAAGGGGTCAGGAGCTGTGAATCGACCCCCGTACCAACAAACAGGTGAGTACAAACGGGGCAAAAATTTTTATCGACAAGACATCTGACAGTTTTAGTTAATATTTTTTTTTCCCCTTTACCAGATATTTACCTAAAGAACGAGTGTTTATTTAATAACCGAGTGAAAACATTTTATCAACAGATTTTTCGTATGGGAGGGAAAATGCTGGTTTTGGTGCAGGAATGGCTTTGTTTGAGTGCAAGAATGGCTTTTTCTGAGTGCACAGAATGGCTTTTTTGATGCACAGAATGGTTTGATGAGTGACGAATGGCTTGTTCTGAGTGCACAGAATGGCTTGTTCTGAGTGCACAGAATGGCTTGTTCTGAGTGCACAGAATGGCTTGTTCTGAGTGCACAGAATGGCTTGTTCTGGTGCACAGAATGGCTTGTTATGAGTGCACAGAATGGCTTGTTCTGAGTGCACAGAATGGCTTGTTCTGAGTGCACAGAAATGGCTTTTTTCTGAGTGCACAGAATGGCTTGTTCTGAGTGCACAGAATGGCTTGTTCTGAGTGCACAGAATGGCTTGTTCTGAGTGCACAGAATGGCTTGTTCTGAGTGCACAGAATGGCTTGTTCTGAGTGCCAGAATGGCTTGTTCTGATTTGCACAGAATGGCTTGTTCTGAGTGCACAGAATGGCTTGTTCTGAGTGCACAGAATGGCTTGTTCTGAGTGCACAGAATGACTTGTTCTGGTGCACAGAATGACTTGTTCTGAGTGCACAGAATGGCTTGTTCTGAGTGCACAGAATGGCTTCTTCTGAGTGCACAGAATGACTTGTTCTGGTGCACAGAATGACTTGTTCTGGTGCACAGAATGACTTGTTGGTGGTGCCACAGAATGACTTGTTCTGGTGAAGAATGATTTTTTGATGCACAGAATAAATTGTTGTGGTGCACAGAAGGGACTTGTTCTGATGAAACAGAATGACTTGTTCTGGTGCACAGAATGACTTGTTCTGGTGCACAGAATGACTTGTTCTGGTGCACAGAATGACTTGTTGTGGTGCACAGAATGACTTGTTCTGGTGCACAGAATGACTTGTTCTGGTGCACAGAATGACTTGTTCTGGTGCACAGAATGACTTGTTCTGATGCACGGGGTTTGACTTGTTCTGATGCACGGGAATGCTTTTTCTGATGCACAGAATGATTGTTTGATGCACTGAAATGACTTGTTCTGAGTGACAGAATGCTTGTTTGGTGCAGAATGACTTGTTTGGTGACAGAATGACTTGTTTTGGTGCACAGAATAAAATTGTTTTGGTGCACGGGAATGACTTGCTCAGTTTGCACAGAATGACTGTTCTGATGACAGAATGACTTGTTCTTGTGCACAAAATGACTTGTTTGGTGCCAGAATGACTTGTTGTTGTGAAGAATGACTTGTTCTGGGCACAGAATGACTTGTTTGGTGCACAGAATGATTGTTGTGGGTGCCAGAATGACTGTGTTCTGGTGCACAGAATGACTTTTGGTGGTTTGCACAGAATGACTTGTTCTGATGCACAAAAGACTTTTTTTGATCCCGAAGGATTGTTCTGATGACAAAAAGATTGTTCTGTGCAGGAATGATTGTTCTGATGCAGAATGCTTGTTCTGAGTGCACACAATATTTTGTTTGGTGCACAGAATGACTTGTTCTGGTGCACA